ACATTCACACACGGGTTGCGCTGAACTACAGTGGAAGCTCTCGAGTGGACACCCTCAGAACACGAAAAAGGTGTCTGTCACTGGAGCTGGTTGCTTACAGGAATTTAATACAGAGTTTGTATGGGAGGTAAGAAAAACAGGTTTTGAGAAGGCAGCTGTAAGTAGAGCTGTCCACTCACAAGAGCGTCCCTTAGGAGAGCTTCCACTATAAAGCCCCATACAAATAGATGCAACATTGTTGGCCAACAACTTCCAACATTGAACATTGAATGTTACATGATGCATCCATTTGCACACCCTGTTGCATGTTGTTGGGTGTTGTGGCTCAAAGTTCGAAACTGGTCAAACTTTTGAGCAAACAACTCCCAACATTTTTGTTCTGTGATCCCTGAAACGTAGCGCAACAATGTTGTTTGCACAGCTCTCCCAACATTGTTGGGGCCAGGCACATGCATTACACAGTCATGGTCTCCAAAGTCTTATGAGTTGTACCCTTCCCATGGTGCACTGCAAGTCCCAACATTGTTGGAAGTTGTTGCATCCCTTTGCACACCACTGCCAATGTGGAAGCCACAATGTTGGCCCAACAATGATAATAGTTGTTGTGTCCATTTGGACGTAGCTTAACCAAGAAGAAATACTAGATATACAAAATTTAGGAGAGAAAAGAAACATTACCTTGAAATTCACAGCTAATCCTCTGAGGGATGGTCTGGGTGGTTCAAATGGTTTTAGTGGAAATGACAGATGTTCAGCCTAAAAAATAAAAATCACTCAAAATGTTACACTATCCATTAAAAAAGCCACTTAAACTTGAAAAACATCTCTGTGTTAATGAAATCACTGTCAGAAAAGATGGTTCCTATAAACAATAAATCAAGGCTTGGGGTGGTACAAAAAAGTTGGAATGAAATTGTCCAGTCAAGCCATAAACTCATTTCATTGTGTCTGTTCACTAGGATGGCTTGTGCAAAAGGTAAAATTGAAGTCCTTGGAACATTATAAAGGACCCATGTCAATAATTACGGGATCACCTTTCATTTAGTTCAAACTTTGCCAGAGTTTTCAAGATACCTTTAATTAATTAACTGTTTTTATATGGTATTTTTCGATCATTACGCCTGACTACCCAAAGTGAGCTGTGTACATCTGTTGTTTGTAGTTTACACTTGATGGATAGTTCAATGTTAGAGTATTCCAGCCAGTCATCGCAATGACCGCAGGTTCAGTTTCCAATTGAGACTTTATTTTAAAACTCAAAACAACCTCCAAAATTGTTTGGTAGAATAATAAGTACAAAACTTTACCTCTCGGTTTTTCTTGACTGTAAGTGCCCACTTTTCAATATCTCGTTTGGTTTCTCCGTATGCAATAGTACGTTGAATCTGAAAACAGAAGGTGACATGTCACTAGTACAATTTTTTTTTCTGGTGAAAATCACCTCAGTCAGATTACTTTCCTCACCTTTTCTGCTTCTGGTTTTGTTAAAGGAACATCAAGGGTGCCTGAATTTCTTTGCATACTATCCTGAAATTAGATTAGAACGTTTCAGTCGTCACTCTGACACATTCAAGCATCCCAAAACAGATCATATTCTTGCATGTAATTTTTATACACCTTGACAAGACTGAAAAGGTCCTGTACATGTATTTTATACAATAAAATCACTGAGCAGTTTTATTAGAACATGGGATGCCATCCCGGATTATCCAGTGAACATTATACTGAGAGGACAAACTACAAGGTGTACACCCTACTAAGGGTTTGCCACATAATCTAGCATGGCAGCTCCACAATAATTTATATTGAAAATAACAGCCCAATGATTTTCCACACAAAAGCAAGACAACTGTTCCCTGGCTGCATCTCTGATTTTAGTTTTCTGTTGATTTTTCAGTTATTGATAAGTAATTTGCACTTTTTAAACATACTGTTAAAGAACAGAAAAAATCAAGATTAACAGTATTGTTTTAAAGTTACAGGGAATGTAAGATCATTCAAATTAATAATAAATCATGTCACTAATACACCAAGAATTGGTGTTAAAAATAACAAGATTTGTCATCACTCTAACCTTTAAATCTGTGGGCAAAATCTATTCTACAAAAACCTCCTTCATAGAACATTTTCAGCGTACTATAATCTTACGAAAAAGAAATTTAAATTTTTTTGCGAATCCTTACCAACTTCTTCTTAAGATTGCCATGTTCATTGCTTTTTTTGAGTGATCCTATAAGATCACTCAATTCAACTTGTTGACTACTATCTGTCACGAATAAAACCAAAGGAAGTTAATTTTCCTCAAATAATATAACCTTTGACTTAAAGATGGTTTAAATACTTTCATATTGCTGCATAACTCTTCAACTGAAACCTTCTCATAATTAAAGCCTTTCTAAAATGCTCTTTAACTGTAAAATGTTATGGCCAACCAAATTATAGCACTTCAAAATAATTATTAGTTATCCACAAGGCACAGTAACTACATGATTGTATCCCTTAACCCCCAATATCCACAAAAAAAATTTAATTGAGAGAATTCAATAAAAGATCAAAGCATTCTCTTTGTTGATCATTTTGTGAATTCTCAAAACCTTTTCCCTCATGTTGTATTGACTTTGTTAGGAGAAAGCTGATGAGAGAATCACTCTTGAGTCTTAGTAGACCAGTACTTTCTAAAGTGTTGTAAGAAGGTTCAATCTATAAGGTTTCAAAGTGAGCTGTTAAAAACACTCCATTCCACAAACTATACCTTTAACAGCACTTAAGTGAAATTCTGAGACTGTCTTGTTTGGCTCTGATCGCTGATGCAACGTTTTCTGTCTGTAAAAAGGATGTTGACCAAAATTAATTTCAAGCATTTTAATATAGAAAGCAGGTGGCTGAACCAAGATGGCCGACAGTGGTTCGTTGTCAGCAAACCTTTCGTCTAACTGATCTAAGCTTGTTTAATCAAGGACTCGTTATTGTTAATATGAAAATTAGAAAATCCCACCCAAAAATGTTTTGCACTTATACCAGTACAAAAGAGACAGGCATCTGAGAAGAGTGACAGCATTATAACTGTTTTCTATTTTTCGATGTAATTTGATTTCAGTACACTGACTACAATGTATTAAGGAGATAATTCTTTACTATTCATAATGTTCTACAGATTGAATGTGATAGTCTGGTTTCATAAGGGTTGTGGCATATATAGGAGAAGGGACCCATTGTTTTTTGAACTGGGACGCATTGATTCTGGACTGGGACTCATAATTTTTCATAAGATGAGTCCCAGGACTCACTATCAGCAAATAATAAAATCACTGCACTTAGCACTCTGTGTACAAGTTAATCTACGTCAGTTACACTTGGACTAACCTTCTCTTGCTGCTTGAGGACAATGAAGTGATTTCCTTGAGGAGTTTTTCATGCTTCTCTTCATCTTCACTCTCTTGCTGTACGGAAAGACAAGTGAATCATAAAATATACTACTTCCTTTTACATCCTAAAAAATGGAAGGAGACAATTAACAACTGCACAAGCAGGGTTTTGGCCCGAAGCCAAACACTGGATTTATCACATTTTTTTTATCTCAGGCAATTTTTTATTTTTATTTTGCTTTTGGGTATGGTAATGTATGGTAATGAAGTTGAAACAAAGGAAAAATAAAAATTACCTGACATAAAAAATTAACTACAACATATGCCCTACTTTGCTTGTGTGTTTGCTCTGTGGATTGGCTAGTTTGGTACGAGTGACAAGAGGCAGAAAGATGGTCGAACGTGTGTGAATACAGCCACGAGGAGTGCAAGGGTAAAAAATCTGATAGGGGCATGGCTTCATCTATCCTCAATGTGTGAAAATCAGGGATAAGAACCAACGTTCCTTCTGCCCCCATCCCCCCCCCCCCCCCCCCCCCCCCCCCCTCCTTCCTCCTTTCCCACGCCCAACGGCCAAAACCACTATATTTTTTTTTTCTCTATTCGTCGCCCGGGGGGCCTGGTGTTGGTTTATTTTTTGTGTTGGTTGATGTATTCATTCAAATTTTTACCACTATTACTACTCCTCATGACTCTCACACATCATCTGGGGAGCGGGGGCGATTTTGTAGTTTGGGTTTTGTGTGGGGGGGTTGGTAGTTTTGGGCGGGGGGAAAAAGGGAAGAAAGGGGGTCGAAGGTGTTGGAAATCGGCCCCGGGGGGGGAAAGGGTAAAAAATCTGATGGGGGCATGCCTTCATCTATCCCCAATGGTTGAAAACCCGGGAAAAGAACCAACGTTCCTTTTGCCCCCCTCCCCCCCCCCCCCTCTTACCTTTCCTCTTCTATGGCTAAAGGTCAACGGGTAAATCCCATAATATTATTTTCACAGGGGTGCTAAGCCGGCTGGCTGGGTTTATGTGAAACTGTTTGGGCTAAATGCCTTCAAACTGAAACTTTTCACGAATAAGCCCACTGCTTAGATCCTCGATCCATAAGCTGGGTGCACGTGATCTATTTAATATATATTATTTACATCAGTTTACACAGACCATTGTCAGTCAAACGGAAATATAGCATACCACAGCCACAACCAATAAAACGATCTACAACATAGAGACGAACAGTTAAGAAATCAATTTAACTCTACTGCATTACAGGAGGGACTGGCACATTTTCGGACAAGTTTATACCTCATCCTCGCTGCCACTCGTGTGGTCATGAAGCAGATCACTTGCTTGACCATCCATCACGGGAGCAATCCTATATGAAGGAAGAAAAGGAAAGTCAAAAATGTAAGAAGTGTTTTCCAGCTGCTTTATAAAAAAACCCTCTACAATAGTGCAAAAAACACCATAATTATCGCTTATATCACATCTTACTTCAAGGCAATCTCCGTCGCCATGTTTCCAACTTGCGGGTCATCGCAAAGGCTACTGGGATGTTATAACACCACGTGGCTTGTAGCCGGACGGACGCCATCTTTACCAAAGAGCGGTGGAAAACTTTGCTTCCTTCTTTCGGGTTTTCTTCAACCATGCCGGCGACCCGTTCTCGTTCACGGTCCCCAAGACGATCTTCGACTTCCTCTTATTCAAAAGATAAGGCTGGGAAACCAAACTCTCGTGAGCTAATCACTATAAAAACAGAATCTACCCCAGACAACAAAGTGAAAGCCGACCATAGTGGCAAAGACAAAACTGCTTCGAGCTACAAGTCGGACTCGGCTAAACCGAAAACAGACAGCGCAAATGACAGTAAACAAGCAGAAAGGAATTTCCGAAAACCGTCCGAATCACCGGTTTCGAAAAGTGGTAACTCGGCGAATAGGAACATGAACTTCAGGAGCAAGGAAAGAAAGTTTTCTGGTCGATGTAGGCTCTTTGTTGGAAACTTGACCAACTGCGAAGACACTGAACTCAAACAGATGTTTGAAAAGTATGGAGAGGTCGCTGAGGTGTTTATTAACAAGGAGAAGGGTTTTGGCTTCGTCAGAGTGGTCAGTATACAGTAGTAAAACAAAATGAGCTGAACAAATTAAGCACAACTGGTTTCATGGATGTGGTTTAAGAAAAGTAGACGGTATTCAATCGATAGAAATCGGTCATTGGAAGCCTAATCGATTAATCGATGGCACTCCATAGTAATCGATTTTTGTCGATCATTCAATTTTCAGTGGAACCTCGATTAAATCGATTAAATGTAGTTCCAAGGGACTGGGGAAATTTGTTCGTTATATTATTGAGGGTTTGTTATATCAAACACGTCGATTTAACGAATTTTAGAAAAAAAAAACAACCAAAATGTTTATTATATCGAGGTGTAATTAGTAATTTATTTACAAAACCCAGCATTTCTGGATCTGAACAAATTACTGCAATAACATTCGTAAGGTTAGGTAACATCTGCAAAGCAGCACCCATATTCTTGTTCTGGGTCCCCAATTACTGGAAATGGTTTCAAAATTTCCCTTCAGCCTGATTACCAAGTTGACAATGGCTTTTTTAACAGACCAATCATGGCACATACTCAAATCCTGGTACACAGGTAGGGATCCAGAACAAGGCTTTCAGCACTGTTTCACAGAAGGACATAACCAGAAGTTAAGGTCTGTCTATCCCTGAGAGGAATATCAAAAATGCTTATCTTCGAATTAGGGACTGTGCAATAATTACCAGGAGGGTGGGGGGGGGCTGAAAAACTAGAGTTATCTACCAAAAACTTAGACAGTACCCCCACCCCTCCAAAACAAAAAAAATTAGTTCTAACCCCCCCTCTGTTATGTTAAAAATAACATTGCACCCCCCCCCTCCACCACCACACTGGTAAACTCAAAACTGGACTGAGCTGCCATCACAGCTTTAATAATGACAAACGTTATTATGTAACATCTAGTATCGAGAAGGATGTTGATCGCTTGATTGAAGATTTAGACAAAGCATTTGCTAAGTACCGGGGTGCTTACCACGTTGGCTCGAAATCTAAAACTTCTGAAGCCAGAAAGAGAAAGGAGGAGAGAAAAAAATCAAAGAACAGGAGATTGAATGCTTCAAATAACAGACGAAAAAGAGCTTGTATTATATTTTGATCCTTGGTAGGAGAGCCTGTTGAACTTTGTTATGAGCCACATATATATGGAATTCAGCAAATCGATTCAGTCGATGAAGAAACATTACTTTTATTCACATCAAAAACCGACAAAACTTGTCTAGGAGTTCTGTTTGATTCCCATTGTTTTATGGGGGAAGCTGAGAAACAAGTTCATGATTTTTGCTTTACATAGGATCAGCTCAATTAATTAGAAGACGGGTTAAAATTGATCAGTTGTGAATTTGCTTTTCATTTTGATGGAATAATTTCAATAATCGTTTAACAGCTGTTCGTATTGATATTTGTTACAGTCTATCATGTTGCCTGTATTGAGAATCTTTTATTGCGTTTAATTTTATTTACATTTCGAATAAAACTTAAGGCCCCCCCTCCGTCAAATGGGTGATTTTACTTTGAGCCCCCCCTATCTTGGCAGCAATTTTATGTAATGCCCCTCCCTCTAGTTTTTCAGCCCCCCCTCCTGATAATTATTGCACAGTCCCTTAGCTGAAGATTTTATCTCCAGGATCCCTCATAGGGAATATTCCAGCCCAGGAGTCGTGTGCCATACTTATGGTAATTGAATATCACCAACTAATGTACAAAGTTAATGGGAATCTTATGCGCAGTTGTATTCGCGAATCTTACTGCGCAATAATATCCAGAGTCACTGCCAAAATTAAAAGAGATATGGAAGGCTGTAGAGACTTTCAAATTTTGTTGGTTTTCAAAGAATGTAAAGCACTTGTACAGAGGTACGTATGATGGTCACAAAGTGCTTAATCACAAGAAAGCAATCTCTGTAGATTTCTGATATTATTCAGTTGATTCAGTTTTATTGATTATGAAAAATTTTGTTTAGATACACCCTGTTGAAAGGATGGGACTCGCAATCACCTTTTGCCAGGTGATTTTGGGGGGATGCAACATAGCCCTGGAATAATCAGCACACTAAGTTCTCTATATTCACCTGAGTAGTCCTGTATAGTCCAGAAAGGTTATCACAAAAAAAATACACCTTATCAAAAGGCCCAATTGCTAAGAAGTGATAAGGGTTTTGATCAAAGTCATTGTTTTTTTAGGACACTCGTTTAAATGCAGAAGCTGCCAAACAAGGTGTTGATGGAACTTATCGGAATGGAAGGGTATTGCGGGTTCGTTTTGCCACACATGCAGCCGCTCTCAAAGTCATGAACCTTGGTCCTCTGGTTACAAATGAGCTGTTACATTCAGCCTTTTCCCAGTTTGGTGATGTGGAGCGAGCAGTTGTTGTCTGCGATGATAGGGGAAGGTCAAAGGGCTATGGTATTGTTGAATTCTCCAGAAGAAACTCTGCTCAAACAGCATTGCAGCAAGTTAATGATGGATTATTCCTTCTCGGAAGGTATAGTAGAATAATTTATATTTCAGTATGTTTGTATTTCAGTACCTTCAGAGCTGAGAGGACATATTATCCTGTTTAAGAAAACTGTCAGCAAATGGTGGCAATATGAAACCTCACAGATGTAACTAAAATAATGCACTAGTAGCATTTTGGCTTTTGTAAGCCTGTGATAAGAGAGCAATATACAATGGAAACGCAAATTGGTTGCAATTATCAGGAGGTTTAAAAAAATTCTGTGTAAAATTACAGTGTTTGATTGGTGAAGGAAAGATAGACCTGGAATTTTGAAAAGCCGTAACTGCAAAAGCAGCCATCGCTCCTTGCTGCTAGGGAGGTTTCACTAGGAGAGATGTCTGCACCTCAGCTACAGAAAATCAATGTTAACATAATATATCCAATAGTCACGGGGTTCCGAAATAATGTAAATTTGTTTGATTTTGTGTTTCCTGGTTGATTATGGTAAAGTGTTGGGTTCTTCTGCGAATGAGCTCCAGCAAAACTCAAATGCACCAGAAATACTGACTGTTCTGTAGTAGATTCACCATGTTACAGTTTACCTTTGTGACCATTTGTCTTTCAATACATCTAGCTAAATCAAAATAATACTATGTCAACCAATCATAGCTCCGGACCAGATTTTGGACAAATTTTACGTCAACAGTATGGAATTTCTGCCTCCTGGTGAAACATCCCTATCAGTGAGGAGCAAAGAGATACTGCTGTTTTTGCAGGCTACAAAAATAAAAGGTTTAAGAAATCGGCACTGTTCTTAACGTGATTGCAATTATTTTTTATACGTGCAGTACCTGACCTCAACTCTGTGATGAAAAGCTTTATTGGAATTACCGTATGAGGTTTTAAAAACTCATGAGTAGATTTTGGCTCCTGAGAGTTGAGGCACTTATTTGGTACATGTAGATTTTGATCTAAGCGAACTGCTGGTATTGTTTGAAACCCCTGTTTTAATATGTCTTTTCAGAACTCCTCGCCCTATATCAGTTAAACAGTTGGAACATGAAGAAGATGAAGATGGTGTGGTAGATGAAAATGTTAAGAGACATGCTGATTTTGAAAAGTAAGATGATGGTTTGGTTTTTCTGCATGCATAATAAATTATTTTTGTGTACCTCATAAAGTTTACAGCAGTTTGATCACTTTGATAAAAAACCTGCCTAAAAAAACTAGCACTGTTTTCAGTTGTAGCAAGGGCTTGAATAAGTGATGTTTGGGACAATTACAATGCACCAAATGCAAATATGGTGGACCTCTCAGCCAGCCAGGATCTAGTTGTGCGAAAGTGAGGCTGGTGGGGCCTCAAGAGTTTTGGTTTGACTGCATGACCTAGCAGTTGAGTAGATTGATATGGTTTACCTGAAGTTGTTGCATGCCTGAGCACCACCAAAAAGGAGATTTTACTCTAGCTGGAAGAACCTTTACTTTCCCAAGATCTTTTCGCAAAGAAAGTTAAGGATTCATACGATTTGTATGTAGATTTTCTTCCTGGGAAAGTAATGAACTCAAGGAGAGTTTAGTTTCGTCTGTGACGCAAGCTAGCCTTTCTAGTCCTGGAAAACTCAGTGATGTCGTGGTGAGGTAAAGGCAGTTATTGATGATTTTTTTTTTCGCTTTGAAAAGTGATGCATCTCAATGATGAGTCTTTATATTGGAATTACCGTATTAAGTTTCTGTGGAAACTGTTGATTCTAAATGGCACCTGAGAGATGCAAACATAAAATACTTTATGTATGGCACAGAAAGGTTGGGTTCACTGGTTCATTTTATTTCACACTGTTTAAGTAAAAGTTCACAGATCTAAGTTGTAAGAATTACAGATTGCCTTGAATAGGTAGTTAAATAAGATAAAACAGAGTTATTGGTACATATGTATATTGACGAATGTGTGTGGTGGTCAAAGTAGCATTCGCTTTTGAGTTGGCCACCACCTACTTTAGAATCAACAAGAACACACAAAGTTTACTTCACTTACCACTGTGAATGGTATAGTTCCAATATTTTATAACATGGTACCTGTGGTAAATCTTTCTTGCAAGCCCAGATATACTGGAATGTCACATTTTTCAACAAGCATGGTAGTATTTTGCTAACAACATTGTTTTAAATGCATGTGGTGTACTGAAATCAAGGAAGCTGTCATTCATATGAGGCAGATAGTACTCAATGCTATTGTGGACTGGCATCATGTCCCTGAACGAAATGTTCCCATCTTAAAAGTGTAAACTTTTAACAGATTGTTTGACGTTAAGTTCTGAAGAAGGAATAGCAATAAAATTTTAACTTGTAACAAAAAGTGGTATATAATTTTTCTTTGGCTGTCCATTTCTACATTCCATTATGTGAGTTTTGCACTTACTGACAGACCAGAGTGGAAGTAACCCCATACAATGTCAGTTAACCCTTTAAGTCCCAATATCCACATACAAATTCTCCAAACTGATCTCCATACATTTCCTTGAAGAATTAGTTGAGAGAATTTGGTAAAAGATCAAATACCTGGTATAGACTTTGCCCATGATAGTCTATGGATATCGTGAGGAGAAAATTAATTTTGAGCACTAAGGGTTAAGCATGTTCCTAGTTTCATCATAATTAATAGAATGGGTTACTCATATGTGCAACATTATCCATTGCACTGTTGAGCTTAATTGCAATTGGCATCAAATATTTCAAGATAGTTGACAAACAAAGGGAGAATTGTTCACCAATATTGTGAAGTAAGGTTTTAATAGCTGAACTGTTTCTTTCAGGGAGAGAGAGGTTGCCCCCCATTTTGTGGCACCGAATACATTTGAGGCAGAGTGGGCTCAAAGATGGCGTGCTCTAGAAGAGATGGAAGTGTCCCAGAAGGAAGCTTTGGATGTTCAGTTTAAGGAAGCTCGTGAGAAATTGGAAGCAGAAATGGATCAGGCAATTCAGGATCACGAGTCTCTGTTAATGAGGCAGGGTATGAACTATTAAAATGTTTTCTTCATTTGAGTGGCCACAATAAAGTTAGTAACGTCAAACCTCCCTGTATGGTATTTGTCAGAAAAGTTATTTCTGATGCAGTGATTTTGTTATGAATAGTTATAGTGTGTCCTGGGACTTATCTTGTGAAAAATCATGAGTCCCAGTTGATAAAACAATGAGTTCCTGGATCTTTTGTAACCACACAGTTAATCTGAAGACATACTCCAAAACTCGGTATAACAGTTTCATTACTGAAATAAAAATATACTCCTTCTATTGTAAATCACAACAAAGACTAAAAGGAATAAGCATCGTTTAACAACAGCCACAAGAACAGCCACAGAAATCACACAAACGGGATATTCTGCAAAAACATCTTCAGATCGATCAACGTTACTGATCGTTGCGTCCTAGAGGATGCATACCTCAAATTTTTTTGGCATTGTGGGAGATTTTTATACGGCAGGGATGCAGGACACAGAGGTAACAAAATCACTGCTGATGGCTTTCTATATCTGTGCTTAAAAAATGTAAAATATTTTAAAATGTTGAAGATGCTGCATCTGCATCCTTATGGGTCTCCTTTTAGTTACAAGTCCCATGATAATTTCTTGTTTAATTAAAACGGACAAATATTTTTGCTGGAACCAAAGGGAGCCCCAAGTTAATGTTTGTTGCTTTGTCCATAGAAATCCAGCGTCGTCAAGAAGAACTGCATCGATTTGAAGAGATGCGTAAAAGAGAGGAGATGATGAGACAAGCAGAGATGAGGTAAAGGAGAACTACAATCTTGGACAGAATAAAAGGGAACAGCAAACCCCCATACCGCCAAATCAAGGATGAAGCCATGGGAAGGGCAAAATGCACCATTTTCCCATCTTTGATTTGGGGGTTTGGGGAGAATGGAAAAAAATGAGGTGTTGAGGTCAAAATAATAAGTTATGTGTTGGCTTCAATATCAAACATGAGTACATAGACAAGATGTCAGAGAGGGTGGACAATGTGAAACCCAGCTTGAAACTACAATAACGTTATTGTGAAAGCACTAGTTGAAAGCTCTTTCATTGTCAGTGTTTGTGAAAAGTTTGTTGTTAAGAAGAAAAAGGGAGATGGGGGTCCAGCTCTGAAAGTTACTGACAATGGCCATGAACATTTTGTCTTTCTGCCTGACAAAATGAAAGTAATCGCATCGATTTAGTTTGATTGGTTTGATTAACTTCAGTAATAAAAAAAAAAAACACTTCATTTGGGTGTCAATGTATTTAGCATGAAAGTACTAANGCAGAAATGGATCAGGCAATTCAGGATCACGAGTCTCTATTAATGAGGCAGGGTATGAACTATTAAAATGTTTTCTTCATTTGAGTGGCCACAATAAAGTTAGTAACGTCAAACCTCCCTGTATGGTATTTGTCAGAAAAGTTATTTCTGATGCAGTGATTTTGTTATGAATAGTTATAGTGTGTCCTGGGACTTATCTTGTGAAAAATCATGAGTCCCAGTTGATAAAACAATGAGTTCCTGGATCTTTTGTAACCACACAGTTAATCTGAAGACATACTCCAAAACTCTGTATAACAGTTTCATTACCAGTCCGGAATATCCCTAAATTTAAGCACAGGGCCAACTGGTCACGCGCCACTTTTTAACCAATGAGATGGCGCGCTTGTGTTTATCAACAAACAAATCAAAACATCGCCCCAGTGATCAAAAATTCTCAAAACAACGGATGGAGTCGGAACAGAATTAAAGATGAGCTTACAGTACTCGTCCAGGTTTCACATTTAATATTTCAAAGAAAACATGTCATGTAAGAGAATCATTGCAAGGAATCATTGGGGTGTTCGAACTGATTCCGGACCGATCGCAGAGGTCGTGGCTTCCCTAGCATGGCTTGCAAGATTTTTGATACAAGCAAACTCGTCCCGTGTAAAAATAGCCTCAGAGAGAGTGTGAAAATTTGTTGAGATCGTACAGAACAGCATTGGTACTACCTATTAACTTCTACAGGACAAGAATCAAAGAACCAGTCATCATAACAAGAATAGAAAGTAGTTCAAATTTATTAATTTTTCTTGTTTGTTTTTTTTGTGTTTTTTCGTGTTGACTTCACACATCTGGTGCTTTCTTCGCTTGCTGTAGTACCTGCAATGTTTTAATTTTATCCCAGATAATCAGTGCATGTTCAATGAGTAGCGAAATACAGCATTTACAACTGAGATTTGCCTTGTTTCTTTGATTGTTCTTTAACGGTGGATGAACATTTGGAGAATCCAACAACATTAAATCTTTCCAGATTAGGGAATTTCAGAAACAAAGCAGTTAGTATCTACCTTGCGCTTATGATCTTCAATTTCATCCCCGCAAATTCGGCAAAGTGAGGCGAGATGTTGGACGTGAATATCCATAAGACTAATAAAGTTGTTTTGGCCTTGAAAAGAAAAAAGGCAAAGGCTCGTACTAATGCGAAAAAAAGTAATAACACGGCTGTTGTGAGAAACCCGGGATTGGAAAACGTACGTGTTTTGGACCTCGGAATTCAAAAATTGTCTACCAAAACTCTAGGTTGTCTGCCACCCCCACATTCAACATAATAAAAGTTAATCAATATGACAATCGAGGGAAAATATTTAGAACTTCGTAAAAAATCTGTGAATCGAAAAAATAATAGATACTTGTTCACCTACCTTGAAAGCCAACCAAAATCTCTCCTGTACATCGCGTTGTTTAAGAGATAAAATAAGAATAAGCCACAAAATGAGCTGAATATTTCACGAGACACTTCCAATATGGCTTCTGATACGCTGTCCACATAAAATAATTGTGTATGCCTCATGAAAAGTCTTAAAAATATGCCTGAAACCTCGAAACGATGACCGATTCTGTCCGACTCCGTCCGTTGTTTTGAAAATTTTTGATCACTGGGGCGATGTTTTGATTTGTTTGTTGAAACACAAGCGCTTTCTCATTGGTTGAAAAGTGTCGTGTGACCAGTTGGCCCTGTCCTTAAATTTAGGGATATTCCGGACTGATTACTGAAATAAAAATATACTCCTTCTATTGTAAATCACAACAAAGACTAAAAGGAATAAGCATCGTTTAACAACAGCCACAAGAACAGCCACAGAAATCACACAAACGGGATATTCTGCAAAAACATCTTCAGATCGATCAACTGATCGTTGCGTCCTAGAGGACGCATACCTCAAATTTTTTTGGCATGGTGGGAGATTTTTATACGGCAGGGATGCAGGACACAGAGGTAACAAAATCACTGCTGATGGCTTTCTATATCTGTGCTTAAAATGTAAAATATTTTAAAATCTTGAAGATGCTGCTTCTGCATCCTTATGGGTCAATCCTTTTAGTTACAAGTCCCATGATAATTTCTTGTTTAATTAAAACGGACAAATATTTTTGCTGGAACCAAAGGGAACCCCAAGTTAATGTTTGTTGCTTTGTCCATAGAAATCCAGCGTCGTCAAGAAGAACTACATCGATTTGAAGAGATGCGTAAAAGAGAGGAGATGATGAGACAAGCAGAGATGAGGTAAAGGAGAACTACAATCTTGGACAGAATAAAAGGGAACAGCAAACCCCCATACCGCCAAATCAAGGATGAAGCCATGGGAAGGGCAAAATGCACCATTTTCCCATCTTTGATTTGGGGGTTTGGGGAGAATGGAAAAAAATGAGGTGTTGAGGTCAAAATAATAAGTTATGTGTTGGCTTCAATATCAAACATGAGTACATAGACAAGATGTCAGAGAGGGTGGACAATGTGAAACCCAGCTTGAAACTACAATAACGTTATTGTGAAAGCACTAGTTGAAAGCTCTTTCACTGTCAGTGTTTGTGAAAAGTTTGTTGTTAAGAAGAAAAAGGGAGATGGGGGTCCAGCTCTGAAAGTTACTGACAATGGCCATGAACATTTTGTCTTTCTGCCTGACAAAATGAAAGTAATCGCATCGATTTAGTTTGATTGGTTTGATTAACTTCAGTAATAAAAAAAAAAAACACTTCATTTGGGTGTCAATGTATTTAGCATGAAAGTACTAACAATGGGGACACTATTTTAAGTCTCCTACATGGTCATCTGAGCTATGTGAAGGTCTAACCATTTGCAGGGTAAAGGCAGTACCTTCATTTCTCAGTCATTTTAAGACCCTGAGTGTTGGTCCAGATTCAGGAATCGAACCCGCGACCTCCTGCTCTGCAGTCAAACCCTCTACCAACTTAGCTAATCCTACTGCGGTTACTGAAAAGTTCTCTCTGAAAAGTTCCTGTTCAGTTATGTTTGATTACCGAACCAATCAAACAACAATCAAACAATTGGTTTTGGTTGACTTTGACTTTTGACTTTTTTGTTCAGTTGTTTGATTTACTACTCCGTTATTAATATTGTTTTTCTGTGTGTGCTTGTGTTCATCACAGGAGACAGGAGGAAATGCGTCTGCAGGAAGAACTATTTCGAAGGGAAGAGGAACTGCGTCGAAAGGAGGAGCTGTTTAGGCAGCAGCAACAGGAGCTCCAGAGGCACAGAGAGGTCAGGCTTCTGATTTAAGAGCTGTTTGATTATTCATGAGCTTGGGAAGTGCTAATGCCTTCCTTGTACCACACGTCCTTGTTATATTAATTCTTGAGACATTCTAGAGTGGGAAATTGTCTCTTTGTTTGACTGTAAAATGTTTGCCTGTGTATGGAATGCACTCTACATTTTCATTACTTCTTGGAAATATAAAGCTTAACACAATAGAAAGGGAAATAGCCCCCAAAAATCTCTTTCGGTTCTTCCTCTTCTTTACTCTCATTGTTGACTTATTTCTGCATCTTGTAGAAAGAAACTTATCTGGGAAAGAATAACCATCTTTAAATGCCAAATGAGATAATAGCTTTTGATCATACAAGTTTATCTGAGGAAAATATTGCGTTTATTGTATTCAAAACTCATAAAAATGTGCTTTAATGCTCAGGAATCAATGAGACGAATTGATTCAAGCTATTCAGGAGGATTTCCTCCTAAGGTAGGACTCTTGTCTTTATAAGTCACTTATAGCTGAGAACAAAGCAAAAATGAGCAATTATTTGGTTAATCGGTCTAGCAAACTTAAAGACAAGTTCACATTCGCCACTTCAAAAACGGAAAGGAAACTGACCCAAGCTTACTTTTGCAAAGAGTTCTAGTACTGTTACTGAGGACAGGGCAAACAAATTGCATGTTTCGTACAATCTTGAAAAGATCTTGATAGTTAGTAGTCGTCTTGACACCTGAATAAAGTTTTCATTCATTTATTCATTCATATTACAGGGACCTCCTGGTGGAATGGGCCGTGGAATGGATTGGGACAGAGGTGCTGGTGGTCCTCCTCCACGTGGTGGCCCACCCCTACGTGGTGGACCAGGGCCTGGTATTCGTCCACCGGGTATGATGAATCCTCCTAGAATGGGCCCAGGAATGATGCCTCCCAGAGGACCACCCCCTATGGGAGGTCCACCAATGGGTGGTCCTCGTGGACCCATGGGATCTGGACCTCGTGGACCTGGTCCGGTAAGTGAGCACTTAAAAATTTATTTAAGAGTTATACAACTTAATGGATCACTTCTTGGAATACTCTTCGCGGGAGATGATGTTCAGGATGAAAGTAATTTGAAGGATGCCATACACCAATGTAGTGTCATGCGTAATTGTCATATCAGCAAGCCACAAAAGAGGGACTATGTTTCCAGCCTTAAAGCCAATTTTTTTCTCAGATCATTCATAGTAACATACAGGATTATCAAAGGAACAGGTTTCGTATCAAATTTGGGAGATGTCTTAGTTTGTGATGATTGTCTATAGATGCAATAAGTGAAAATAGAACTCTGGTATAGTGAAACATAATTGCTTAGGTTTCAAGTTATTCAAGCTTCTTTTGCCTGTTTTGTCCACATAATTATAACAACTGACAACAATGTTTCCTGTTGATAATACTGTAATGAGAACCAATATCTGGTGGAAGTAAATGAATGTCTAGAAATAAGGTATATACAACAATTTTATTTTATTTCACAATAACAAGAAAGTAATATAAGAAATGTTTTGTATGATGTCAGGTTATCAGGCTGAAGATTAAGGTTTAAATAAACTACATCATCTGTGTCACTAGTTTAAAAATTTTAATTTACGTTTTCATATTTGAGTAATAATCCTAGTTTTACTGAACTGTGTGAATTTTAAGTTGAAATAAGATTTGTTTTGTAGCTCTAGACTAGATTTTTGCTAGTCTCTGCAAAAGAAAAAATTGCTTGGTGACTACATATTTTAGTGCTTGTTCAGTTTTCCAAGTGTTTACGAAGACAGGCATCTGTTAAAGCAAAGTTAATTATTTATTTCTGGAGTATTAATATGCCTCAACATTAAGACTGATAACAAGAGCATTAAAACATTCGGGTGATGACCACTTTTTTTTTTTGGTTTACCATAATGGATGTAGTGAAAGTAAGTTACTAACACTACTGAAACAGCCTCTAGCCTTAGCAAACCTTTCTGTTAATTTGATAACTTTTTACTGATGTTGTGTCTTTTATTGCATAGTGTGTGTACTAGTATATCTTGATATCTTAACATTTGGAGCCATATTTTATATATTCATATCATTAATGTTAGTAGAAGAAATGAAACGGATACAAGAAACAGAAAGTGATACCAGATGCTTGATGAGCTAGTAAAAGAATGTTATATACCTTGGTTTATTCTAATTTTGATATATTTGCTTTTTGTTCCTGCTGCTGGCTGCCTCCATGGATTTTCTCTGTTGTGCGTTGGACTTGTGGATCTTATCATGAACTTTGCAAACTTGACAATGTTATTGGTGACTTAATTTATCATTCATTCAGAGGCCACGGTTTGAAAATGATCGAGAACGTAGTCGTGAAAGGGTAGATCAAGATCGGCTTGCTGCACGCTCGCGTGAACCTCCCTCAAGAGAGCATGGAGATTTCAAGAGATTCCGTTATTAAGCGTGTACAGTACAGAAACTTTACTGTTGACTGCAATTTTGTAGTGCATCAAAGAGAACGTAAACCTCTGTGATTTTAGAACACTGCACAATGGCGTTCATATGTCACTGTTTCTGGCACAAGTGTTGTATTATTCAGACAGCTCTCTTGTTCAGAATACATGTACCTTTCCATCGTTTGTTTAAGTAGTTCACAGCAGATGTTAGAGTTAATTTGCTACCTCGAAGGAGGAAGAAGGTCCTTAGTTTTTTAAGTAGACTTAAAAATAAGCTGAAAGTAATATTATAGCAACAATAACATTATTGTTCTTAGTAGTATTTATCCTAGCTGGAAAATTGGAAACGTTTTGAAGCAAAATGTAGTTCGGCACATTGTTATTTCAAGGAAGTGAATTATCTTAAGAATCAGTTGATTTCAGAAAGTTTTAGAAATTTTACTTAACTGTTTAAGGGGAATAGAATATTACTAAGGGCTATTATTATTATAATTATTACAACTGATTTGACAACTTATTTTGTAGGATTTCTGTTGTGTTTGCCAAACTGTATAGAAGGGTCAAGTTCTTTCAATAAATTAAGTGTGTTGAAAATGCAGAGATTTTGGCATTGTACGTTATTGTTTGTTTCCCTTGATATGATCTTT